TTCCCATCTCTTTTTTCTCTATATAGCTTTGGTTTTCTATCTTTCTATTTTTCTTATTCTTCTTTCCACAGTTTCAACATTTTCAGCAGATTTTATATCTATGCTTTATGCATGTGTTGTCATTATTTTGAAGTTTAGTTTAAGTTTTATTTTATTCTACCCAAAATAATCCCACTTTTGACAGTAGTGTTATAATTTGTTCCATTATTGGACGAGTTTGTTTGGGTTATTTAGTAAAATAATATCAAATTTAGTCCATATAACAATAACAAGCTAATTTATTTCTTTAATAATGTTTGCTACAGGCTTTGTCCACTTTGACACAAGTTGTAGGCCTAAGTTCATAAATAATGTTTCAATGGGAATTCTTAGACTCATGGTACATATACCTAACTTACTTATAAACTTCATAGTAGAATTCCTTGGCCAGTTGATTAACTGAATTAACATGATAAATCTTACTACTAAAACTGAAATGGATCACTTAGTAACTTCTCAATAATTGTCTGCTTTACTTGTTTTTGTATTCTATATTGTACTCCATTTTCTACATACTGCATGAAATTTCTAAGTATTGTATCATGAGCCCTCTAGCAAACAAACATTTAAATGAAAATATATCAAAATATGGCTTACAACAGCATGTTATAAATTTATGAATGATTAATTTTTCTTTGTTTCTACTTATTTTTATATGGGAATAATTTGTTTAAAAAAGTTACAAAGCACTGCATCAGCACATGGATATGATGCTGTCAGTTTCCTGTAACTTAGGAAAGAAATATTGCATGAAATCGCTTGAATCTTGAGCAAAGCATTTGGTTGAAAAGACTATTTTCAGATAAACAGTATTTCAATAATATATTTAGTATTTCTATGAATTCTTAAACTTGAAAATGACCTTGTACAATGTCATTCCCCACTAGGCCTACTCACGTAGTATATTTAGTATTTCTATGAATTCTTAAACTTGAAAATGACCTTGTACAATGTCATTCCCTACTAGGCCTACTCACATGATATATTTAGTATTTCTATGAATTCTTAAACTTGAAAATGACCTTGTACAATGTCATTCCCCACTAGGCCTACTCACGTAATATATTTAGTATTTCTATGAATTCTTAAACTTGAAAATGGCCTTGTACAATGTCATTCCCCACTAGGCCTACTCACGTAATATATTTAGTATTTCTATGAATTCTTAAACTTCAAAATGACCTTGTACAATGTCATTCCCCACTAGGCCTACTCACGTAATATATTTAGTATTTCTATGAATTCTTAAACTTCAAAATGACCTTGTACAATGTCATTCTACACTAGGCCCACAAACATAATATATTTAGTATTTCTATGAATTCTTAAACTTGAAAATGACCTTGTACAATGTCATTCCCCACTAGGCCTACTCACGTAATATATTTTTCTATACAAAATATAAGCAGTGGGTAAACTAAGGAATAAAAGAATTTACATTTCAGCAGGCTCTAAGTGATACCTTACAAAAAGGATTGTCATTTATTTTTTCAGTAACTACCTAAACGTTACACAGACTGTAACAGAGCCTTTTTGACTACAAGAATCAATGAAATATACCTAATTTTTAATGTATAGACAACTTGTGATTTATGAAGCTTATGCTCAGCAAGGTAAGATTGACTCATTGTAGAGCCGAGTTAGATTGCACGGTGTGTTGTGACACTGGACAAATTAAACCCAGAAATAATTATTCAAATGATTGTTGGAGCTATGAATGTTTCTCTTTTAATTAATCAATATCAACAAATGTGTATAGTCGTAACATGCTAAAAAGTCATTTTCTATTTTCCCCATCTTTTGCAAAGACTAGGCACTCATGCAGTAAGAAATATTAAACACTATAAAATATAATGTATAAAAAAGATAGTATAAAGTTTAAACATCTCTTCTGTAATGTATTCAACACTTGTAACTTAATCTGTGTTGCAGAAGTGATATAATCAGAAAACTAACTTTAGGTTGATTTCAGTAAAATTATTCAAGATGTCTCTGTTTAGAATTAAGCCCATGTAGAGCCCATGCATCAATTAATTAATTAATGACACTTGAAAAGTACAAAATCTGGCAATATTCAGGGATAAGAATGGGAAAAGTAAAAAAAAGTCTGAAGTATTTTAAGCCTAATGCTGGGCACCAAAAATTAGAAGCATTCTCTTGTGTGTTTTTTTTATATACTGACAGATATGGTTTCTTTAAATCTTAGACCGCCAAATTTGATATTTTAACAATTCCATATGTAAACAATTGTACAGAAACCCCATGAAGTGTTGTTTAAAAGTGTGGCATATTATGCATAAACCTTTAAATGGTAAATCCAGAGGCCTGGATGGAGTGGGTGTGTGTGTCACTTGTTGAAAATTTTCACCCTCACAATCAAAAACTTTGCCCTATAGTAAACTGCACAAAGCAGAAAACATTCACCCTGTTAATATGACAGGGTTATTACAAATACATAATATAGAATTTGTAAAATACAGTGCTGTATGTATGTTATAGTTTTTTCTTGAGGGACACCACATAAGATAAGTACAGCCACTATAGTATTATTAAACATGTGGTAGAACTCTTAGAAGGGTGTGTAGATAAAGAACTATTTTATTTTTTATAATGTTTTATCTCTTACAAGTGAAGCATGATTACATAAAAATACACTCAAAGCTGTGATCGATACTCAATAATAATAAGACGAGCTAGGAATGTAGTACCTCATTTGTAACAGATTTATTATTATATATATATATTTATTCTAATATCCGTGTTTGTTTAAATTAAATTAGTATTTAGAAATGTACAACTTATATTGTTAAATATGTATTGTGAAACTCCCACCTATCCTCTAAAGTTATAGATGATTCTCGAGTGTAAGAATCAACAATATATGTGTGTACATAAACGATAGTGTTAGTGTAAGTATTGTTACGTAAACTGAAATTTCAAGAAACTATCCACATGACTATAAAGATAACCAATGCGACACGTCAAAAACTATCTATTATTGGTTTGCCAAAGTTGATATACTATAAACTTTGGAAGCAATAACTGTGATTAACGCTTATTAATTGGGAAACTTCAGATATTTGACCAGGAACATTTATATATTTTGAACATTACAAACCATTTAACTTCAGTTCCCAACGGACATTAGTACTTTTACATTTAACTTCAGCGTCAAAAATTTGATTTGTAATCACTGTGTGATAAGCAAGGCCCACAGAGCTAGCTAGCTCCCTATGAAGTGAATTATACCTACACAAACTCAGAATTAACTCGTTCATCGTGAACCCTCGATAAGACATCAAGGAAGTTTCAGACCAGTAAGAAGACTTTATATTGTTTGTAAATCTTTTGTATAGAAATCATTGTTTGTAATAAATGTTATTGTAAATTGTATTATTGTTTGTATATTAAAATATATCTGTATTAAAAAAAAGAAAACTGTGTGTATCAGTCTTGTTGGCAAATATCGTAAGTTGGTTATATATCGGCATATATTTAACTACTAAATCTAAATTACAATTTAACTCAGTTTTAGGCTATTTGAAATTGTAATACGTAACATAATACATTTATCCAGGTTAAAAAAGTAATGGATAAATAACAGTGAAAATTAAAATGTCAAGTTGATTTTTTTTAAAACATTCACGACATCTTGCACCACCGGCGTGGTACATTTGCATGTTTTCGGTTGGACGTAGTGTGCCACCCGTGGTACACAGCACCCATAAGATATAACTGTACCTCCTATCTCCAAACTCTTATAATAAAGTCTTTATTTTGTATGGACGGCTATAATTAAGCCACACCTTCCATCATGTACCACTGGTGGAACACGTATGCCATGTTGAAAGGACAACTGAAATAAAATTACATCTAGATATTGGCATGAAATTTGTCATTGTGAATAAATAAAGCCAAAAACTAACTAACTGAGACTTCTTTTATAAATACAAAAACTCATGAAAACTGTAATATAATAAGGATAAAAATAAAAGTGTCATAGTGACTAAGTGGTGCAAAAAAAACTAATTAGAGATTGTTTTTTTTTTAGAAAGTCTTTTATGAAAATTGGAGAAACAAAAGATAGACAATGAATATTTTATTTAATTTTCATTTATGTTTGTCATCGAAACACTCCAAACACAATGTAGGCTTCCCATCACAATCTCTGAACTATTATCATCCACGGTAGGGATTATTATATCTGATGTCCCTTTTTTTACGATCATAAAATTGTGAAATATTCATAATTTGTCTAAAAAAAATGGCAAAAGTACTCTGATAAAAAGAAAAAGATATTAAATATCATGATCATTGGATTATTATTATTTAAATCGTAGTGTGCACTATCGACGGTGCACTCAAGAAAAGGCTGTCAATGGAGTCATTGATCATTGGATTATTATTATTTAAATCGTAGTGTGCACTATCGACGGTGCACTCAAGAAAAGGCTGTCAATGGAGTCATTGATCATTGGATTATTATTATTTAAATCGTAGTGTGCACTATCGACGGTGCACTCAAGAAAAGGCTGTCGATGGAGTCATTGATCATTGGATTATTATTATTTAAATCGTAGTGTGCACTATCGACGGTGCACTCAAGAAAAGGCTGTCGATGGAGTCATTCTGTCACGAAACATAACATAAAACCTTAAAATTAGCAGTATCTAAGACAGAGTTAACAATGAGGCTTTACGTTTCTGTTGCATAATTAGGGAAATCACTTACGTCGCAAAAGTGTTAAAATGTTATTTACCAAAGTGTTTTTTTTTACAACCCTATCTACTTATATATTTATCTAAAAAATATGTAAATTTAGAGTGAATTGAACTCCAAGCATGTTTTAAGCTGATAATTACTGTACATTTTACAAGTATCACTTATGTTTTTTTTACAGTAATGTGCTTATAACTGTGTATCGGAATAACGATATGTAAAATTCTTTTCTTACAGACTCTGATACCAAGGTTGATGCAGGCTTTTTTGTGCGTAGCTAGCGATTACTATGTCATCAAGTTCTCATCTTGTCTTCTTGGCGACAAGGTTGGACTGTGGACGGCATTCTGTCTTGGAACCAATTGGTTTCTTTTTTCTGTGCTTCTCGTACACTCACTAATACCACAGAAATGGCATTTACTATGTTTGGTTTGTACCTCTACCCATGGTCAAGACATTCAGTTTCAAGGTAAACATTTACAAGTGTACAAAAGTTATATACTTACAAACTTGCTGTTGTGAACTCTTCAAAGATTGCAGGTGTAGAGCTATTAGCTGCTTCTATGTGTTAAACATTACATCAGAAGGTATTAACATGTAAAAATAAAGAATACTTTCTTCGAATGGGCTGGAAACATAATGAAAGATTGTCTGATGGAACTTTTTTTTTTTTCTCTAAAGAGTCAGATTCACTTCGGAATGAAGACACCTCTTTTATAAACCAAGCTTAAATGTACTAAATGAATATTATTCTAATTAAAGATTGTTTCAGGAGTTATGATTTTAGTAAAACTCTTCAGTGATTTTAGAAATTATCTAATATTACATACTTTAAGAATCACTCACTTCAGAAGGTAAAACAGTTTGTTTTAACTACCATTGTTTTACCTTCTGCAGTGAGTGATTCTTGTTTGTTTTAACTACC